TCAAAGTGTGTATATATATTTTTAGGGACACTGAATATATTCTTCATGGACAGGGTTAGAGAAGGATAGAGTGATTTTAAATGACTACTTGCAAAACTGTCTTCACATGTATCCTATAAATAACAGAATGCCCTTATTTTTAAAAAATTCATTTTTATTGATTTTAGAGGGATACAGAGATAGAAACATTGATGAGAGATAAATATCATTGATTGGTTACCTCCTGTACACCCCCTACTGGGGATCCTGCAACTTGGGCATGTGCCCTGACCGGGAATCAACCAGAGACCTCTTGGTTCACAGATCAAAGTTCAATAACTGAGCCACACCGTTGGGCCAGAATGCCCCTTTTCCCTCTTTATGAGTATGTATCATAAACCTAGGCTATTAAGTCCTATATAACTTGATGAAGGTAACGGAGGACTCAAAGACAGAAACTAATGAATCACCAAAAAACCTCCCAGTGTCCAGCCAGGCTTTCAATAATAAAGAAAAAAGAGAGAACAATAATCTCATCAGATTTTCTGTTTTATCCCACTATCAAGAGTTGCTTTTTGTGATCACTATTTCATTTTTACATTATTTATGTGACTACTTCTACTGTTGCCCCTATTGCAAACAATAAACCAGAAAAAATTTCTAGAAGTTAGGAACATTCCCTGTAATGAAATATCAGAGACGCTGATGAGACAAGAGATTGGCTGAGGAGTAACTTCCTCTATCTTCTAGATTCTATGCTTGGAGACCTCAGACCATTACCCTATAAGGTCTTCTGCTGGATGACTACTTGACTGTTGTTACTCCATTTCATCAAGGCAAAGTGATCCACCAGCAATACTGTCAGGTCAATGGTAATCAATAAACTGATTTTGTTACTGATGGAAGATGGAAGTATTGGAAATTTGTAAGGCTTAAACAGATCTGATACTAAGGTTTATGGTCTTTAGCTTTACAAGTCTTTCTAGTAGAAGAATCATAATATTCACTGTAGCAAGAATTGGGCAATGAGATCTTAAGGGATGATGAGATTATATCCAAGTTTATAAGTGTGCTGTACTGGAAAAAGTGTGGTTGGTGCCAGAAGACCCGGAATACGGTCCCAGCCAACCTGACTTACCTAAACCACTGAAATCTTGAGACTAATTAATAAAATAAAGAAAAAAAATTAAAAACCAAACCCAGAATTTTGCTTAAATAAGACATCAATTTAAATTTATTCTGTAAACTTTAAAGTATTAAAGGATAACCGGCTTTTCTCTTTCAAATAGAAAATATCACTTAACATGTGATTAACATAATATTTTAGGAAGCTTTTAGGATTTACAAAAAACTTTTATCAATAGTTTTAGGACTTTGATTATTTTAATATGAGTTTATTTTCTAATCTCTTTCAAATTTAAGTTTTTAATATAAAATATATCTATTTTTTTCCTTGCTTAGAGCATGAAAACAAACAAATAATGAGCTCTTTGAAGAATGATTTCTAAACATGTAGCAAACTCATACTCCTGTATTGTATTCACTGTGGAATGCCTGATCACTGGATATAACCACTGTATTGGTCCAGTGAGTATTCATGTTTGATAGTTAAGATAATCACTAATTTCTACTGCTGTTCCTCTGCCACTTCATAAGGCATGCACGATTGGTCCTTTAGTATTTCCCTCTCATTGACTGCGGACTCTAAACCATTATTTGTTGGTTTTAGACCTTTACAATGCCCAGTGGCATTTTCAACTGATGACAGCAATAACAGATGATGCTGAGCCAAAGCTACTGGGAGTGAAATGCAGAAAGTAAAATGATAATAAATAACTGTCACTCCATTACTAAACAGTTTCTAAAATTGGTTCTAGTGCATATTCGATATGTCAGTCTCTATAATACTAGAACCAAAAAGGCCTTAGTAATATACGCAAACAAAAAGAACCCAAACACTTGTCTTGTGCAGTGACCAAGAATTACTCAATGATCATGGCACATGTATTAAAATAACTCTCAACAGATCCTATTTCAAAATTTTTTTGGTATCTTCTCAGTTTGTTGGTACCTGGCAAATGTGTCAATAGTACACTCAGACCAATGAATGTAAACTTTAAAAATGCTGGAATACAAACCCAAAGTCTTGAATGGCTATAAGACTAAACATATGAATAAATTCTAGGCACAGATATGTAATGATAAGAAATATAGGACTATAGAAGATGCCTGGGAGAGATCATAAAACCTGTCTAAACATGATCTTGGTTCTAGTCAGGTGATCTGGGTGGGAGACAAATTTGAGCTATCCTTCTTAGCCAGCTATCTCATAAACTTCAGGTATGAGAATGGAATCTGTTGTAATAAACTCTATTCAATAAGAGGATGTTATTGTGTTAAATTATTCATACTATACAATAATTGCTTCTTAAATTTAAATTCCACCTCCCTTTTTCAGGCCACTGTGGCATCCTTCATTTTGTTCTCTTTCATTCCATCAATGATGTATCACATTTGTTGTAATGATCATTACTTTTATTTTGCTTTTTAATAAAAGATTCATTCTACTAACTCTATGACCTAAGTGAACTGATATATAGCAATCACTAAGGTTCTTAGTCTGAAGACATAAGCCACTTACTAGGTAAGTTATATAGATCTCAGCCTCAGTGATATTGTTAGTAAAACTAGGAAAATAATAGCAATACAACAGAATGAATGTGATGGTTAAATGAACAGTATATGTAAAGAGACTACCTTTTCTTGTCTTTCTCCAAAAGCAGAGACTTAGAATGAAACGTAGTTTATTTTTTGAATAGATCTTAGATAATAGAACTGGGAGACTGGGAAGGATAAATCAGGAAATAAAGACCACTGCAAGTTGTCTTAACAACCTGGTCAATGCTGTAGGAATTGGGGCTTGATCCCCCAGTGAAACTCTTGAATATCTGTGGAAAACAAATTTCAAAAAGGTCCATCCAAGGAATGAAAGAATATTGCTCAAGGTTTGCTCTGTGGGGTGTTAGTGACTCACATAAGGTTGTGTATGAATTAGAATATCTGAGCAGCTTCCTGGGGGTTTCCTTATAGCAATTGCAGGGAAGCCTCAAGGCAGGAGGTGAATAAAATCTAAGCCATTTGGAACGTATGCAAGGGAGATTTATGACAGCAGTAGGTGGCCAGGTTGAATATAATGTCACTCCCAGTTGATGGTCAGAGATTTATTTTGTCACTAGACCGAGGTGAGGCTGTCACCCAGGGTCATTCCAAATGAACTGGATCATCAGGGAAATGTGTTTAGTGGAATACAAATCTTGGATTCTGAGCAGTTTCAAGGTGATTTCCATAAGATTAGAGACAGTGGCTTCCATGGAAGATTTTTTTAAGATCCAGGACCACAAATGCCATCAATGTCATGACCTACAGTGGCCAGGAGGTCATCTATCTGGCCCATCATCCCAATCAAGAGTAAAAACACAACTAAAAATGGTAGTAATAAGGATCTTATCTTAGCATGTAATTTTATAGTTTATAAAACTTTATAAACGTTCTATGCAGTATCTTCTTTGGTGTTACCAGTGATTCTATGAGAAGGTATGATATTATTCTCCTTATTTTTCAGAGAAGGGATTTTAAACTTTTTGAATTTGAAGGGTTTTAACCAAGGTTCCTTGTCTTCATGTCATAAGGCATAAAGAGAATCAAATCAAGTTTCGTCCTAATCCCATCATCCTAAAAGTTGCCTTTATTTTAACAAAATTTCCTCCTGTCAATTCCTTTGTAAGTCCTAACACCTGCCTGCCACTTCCAGTTGTCAGCAGCAGCCCAAGTGAGCCACTCATGTCACTGAAAGCATGAGCAAATTTTACCATTAGCAACATTTATTTGCAATTCCATTGCCATTTGTAGTGTTTGATCTCTTACCAAGGATGCCTACTAGATCTGAAGAAAACTGTCTTCAGATGCTGTGTGCCCCCGGACAGTTCCTAACATGAAGAAATGGAAACTCAAGAAAAGCAACATTTCTGATAAAAACAAAAGTGTCATGACACATATACCAGTCCTAAGTTATCTGAAGATTTGAAAATATGTAACTTAATTAAATTTCTCTTTCCATCCATCTCCAAACTTTAGGTCACAGAATTTAACTAATTAACTAGTAGTAATAATGAAAATGATGATAATTATACTATTGCTACGACTACTATAAGTAATAATAACTGATCATTGAGAACTGACTGTGAGCTAGGCATATGTTAAATGTTCTATTAACTAACTTAGTTAATTCCCACAATAATCCTTATATAGAGTACTGTCATTATCCTCACTTTACAAATAAGAGAATGGAGGTAGAGAAAAGCTAAGTGAGTTTCCCAAATAACACAGCAAGGACGTGGCTGATTCGATGTGGTCCCGGCAGTCTTAGCCATTGTGCTATCCTGCCTGGCTCTCCGACCCAAGTTCTGTAGTCTGGTCTGCAGTTGGAAGCTGTCAGTGTCTGGGAAACCAGACTTTCACAAATTCCCAAGCAGTGGGTGTAAAGTGAAGTACAGCGTCTCAGAGCAATTGAGAAAGTGATTAACATCTTTGGAGGGTGTGGTTGTGTGTGTGTGTACACTGAGGGTAGGGGCAGAAAAGGGCATTGCAGAAAGAAAGAAATGTAGAGAATTGCCTCAGAAGTGTTTCCTCCCCCACCTAGAATTTCAGAGTATATTTACAACTTCTTAGTTTCTCCTTTCTACTATAAACAAACATGTACACATCTCACTTTTATGTTCCCATGACTGCTATAAAGATCAAGAGTGTTATGAGGTGATTCACTACCTGACCGGACACAGCCTCCCTGTGTGCTCTCAAGGGGGAGGAATCATTCCCGCGTGCTGCCTCTCCTGCATGCGGAGGCTCTTCTCCCTGACTTTGCAAAAGCATCTCCAGATCCAGGAGTCCCAGCTGGGACAGGCTGCCTGGATTGACCGGGGAAGGGCACAGTACACACATCTCCCCCCAGTGAGGTGACATACCCGGTCAGTTTTTCCTTCGGTCTGAAGGCTGGTGTGGCTGCGGACCTCATGATCCTCTTCCAGGTCAGAGACATCCTCTAGTTCCTCTGGGGTCTGTGAACAGAGAGCAAAACATCGCTGATGGGAATGCAAAATGGAAAACAGCCTGGCAGTACCTCAGAAAGGAAGCACGGGGACCAATATGACCCAGCAATTCCACTCCTAGGAAAATACCCAAGAGAAATGAAAACATATATCCACCAAACACTTGTAAACAAATGTTCACAGCAGCACCAATCATAATAGCCAAAATGTGGAAACAAGTCAAACAGATATCTACTGATAAATGGATAAACAAAATGTAGTAAATTCATTTAATAGGATATTATTTGGCCATGAAAAGGAATGAAATACTGATACATGCTATAACATGGAACATGGATGAACCTTGAAAATATTACAGTAAGAGAAAGAAGTCAATTACAAAAGACTACATATTATATTATTTCATTTACATGATATATCTAGAATAGGCAAATCTATAGATAATAGTTCCTAAAGGAAGGAGTGGGTGAGGAGGGAGTGGGGAGGACTACTAATGGGTATGTGGTTTCTCCTTGGAATAATAATAATGTTCTGGAATTAGATGGTGGTAACGGTCACACAATCTTGTGAATATAGTAAAAAACACTGAATTTCACACTTTAAAATGTTTAAATGAGTGGTGCATGATTACAGCCTAATACATTTTTAAATTAAATTTATTGGGGGAACATTGGTTAATAAAATTATATAGATTTCAAGTGTACAATTCTACAATACATCATCTGTATATCGCCTTGTGTGTTTACCACCCAAAGTCCAATCTCCTTTTATTACCATGTATTTGGTCCCCTTCCCCCCTTTACTACCCAAACTCCCCACCTCCTTTTCCCTCTGGACACCACCATACTGTTGTCTGTGTCTATGAGTTTTTGTTTGTCCTGTGTGTTCATTTGTGGCTTTCAGGTTTATGTTCTAATATATTTTGAAAGAAAAAGGATGTAAAACTGATCAGAAGGAAGCTTTTCTCTGAATGAGTAGCAATTTGGCTAACCTGGTACGTGGTTATCACAAATCAAGTTGTTTAAAGGTGACTGGATTCATTATCATGAAAGCCATACAACCTCAACATGCCATTAAAGTTAGTGAGAGATTAAATTTTCTAAGACCTTAAAAAATAATTTAACATGGATTTCAATATCTATTCTAAATAGTTAACCTCCTTCCATTCCTTTTTTTCCATTTCATCTTAAGCATCTGTTCAGAGGTGTCTTGCTCAGGAACTCCTACGCCGGGCTGGGCTCCTCTGCCACTCCTTTCCTTATTCCCTCTACTTTCACTATCATATTGCTAATCATACTTTATTGTATTGCCATTTATATTATGTCATATCACCAAAACCTAGCACATACATGCTTCTGAATGAATGGAGCAAAATTATCAGTGATAGCCAAAAAGACCGTTGGATATGAGCAAAACAACACACATCAACAGCAACAACAAATACTTGTTCTAACTTTACCTTCACTGTGCTCCCACCTTCTGTATTCTAAAGTACAATGTTTTTATTTTGTACTGTGTTTTTCTTTTTTTTCTAGTTCAAGGTTTTTATTCCCTTAGTCTCAAAGGGGAAATAATGTAAAGAAATCAGTCCTTATTGAAAAAACAAATGTAAGTACTTAACAAGAATTAACTTAGTATTTGTCTTGGTTTACACAGTCTCAACATTAAACTATGACTCTTGCTACGAAGTCCTGGTGAGAAAACTAGAATACAAACAATTAGGTTTCATGAAAAACTACCAAAAGCATTGTGGAAGGCCTTTTATTGGGCCTTATACCCCCGACTGCTAAAGGCACAAATGCCTCCTGAGACCAGCTCTGGCGTCCCTCGGACCTCCCATTGGCCACGGGCTCTTTATTTTCAGTGCTGCGAGCGGTTTCCTTCCCCCGAGATGGGAACAAAGCGATTAGCTCACATAGTGGCGCACAACACTCTCAATTTCATAACCACTAAGGGCCCGAGATTCTTTCTATCTCATGGATCTTTACCTAGCACGTTCTTTGTTCTCTAACACTTGCAGTCAGCGTCATCTGTCTCTCTGCATTTATTTCAACTTACTGGGATGGGCTATTAACACCCGCCTTTTACCAAGGCCTCCAATATGCTAAGTAATTGTTATCTATTTGTTGATCTCTATATGTAGTCCTTCTTTGCTGCAACTAAATGCAGCTAAAATCACAGAGCAATTTACTCTCTCCTCTTAGGTATTAAGAACATGAGTTCACCACTATGGAACTTCTACACAATCACATATTTCTTATTTGCCATTTCTGTGTATTCTTCCCACAATATGCTTGAGAAATGATCTTTGCAATTCCCCTCCTTGACACATCACCAGCCCCTGTAACATCTGAATGCATTCAGTTGATCAAATTCCCTTTCTTGGGTCGTGTTTTGCAGTGGAAGGCTGTCTGGTGCCCCTACTGTGACCTGTTTCTTATAAATATCTCTTGTTTATTACTTGGATGACACTCTACAATGTAGAGATCTATAACTTCATCATTGGTTCCAATATTTTATTCAACCCCAAAATAAAGTTACTTAACAGGAACTAAGAAAAACTTCTGCTAGAAGTCACAAGTACCATTTCTGCTGGTGAGAGTGCAGAGAGAGAAAAGGCTCCCATCGATGCCCACATACTTCTGTGCTTTCTTTGTCTTTAAACCACTAATAGTCTTCCTGCTAAGCCACCGCAAGTGACCTCTTCTTTTCATGAGCAAAATCAACGGGGGAGTGTTCAAAACACTTGCTGGCAGGATTATGCCTTCTGTACGGCAAGCGGCTGGATGGCATTGAAAAATAAAATGTGAAATATACAATATTACAGTTTAAATTAAGTGGAAACTAAGGAAAGGATAGGAGCACTCTAATCATTTATAGGACGATACATTAACTCCTTCAGGACTGGAGACAAATAATAATAGAAAGAGCAGATGTTATCTGTCTTATTTATCACTCTGAGTACCTGAGACAGCCGATACTATGTGCTCAATAAAATTTCCTAACTGAAGAAATAAAAGGTTTTATAACCAACTAGAGTCCTGTTGCATGAAGAAATTCGTGCAATAGGCCTTCCCTTCCCTTGGCTGCTGGCACCGGTTTGCCTCTAGCACCCAGGACCCAGGCCTTCGCTCTGGCTGGCCCCCGCCAGAGCTGGCCCTGGGGCCGTCAGGCTTCACTCTGCCGCTTGGAGCCTACTTATGCTTCACTCTGCCGCTTGGAGCCTACTTATGCAAATTAATCACCATCTTTGTTGTGTTAATTTGCATACTCTCCTGATTGGCTGGTTAGCATAGTGAAGGTACAGTCAATTTACATGTTTGTCTATTATTAGGTAAGATAAGCTTTGGTATCAATGTCACAGGAAGGTCATGGAAACATTTTTGAGCTATGAAGTAATGTTTAATCTTTTGCCTTCTGCCTTTAGTATGTGTTGATTTAATAATCCCTTGCCTAAGGGAAAATTTGAGGTGGTTCCCGAACTTTTTTTTAAGTCTATGGAAATTAGAGACAATAGATTCTGAACAGAGAGATTTTTGACAAGCTTCAAATTCATAGACTTGGAAAATGAGAAAGGCAGCTATGTATTCCATGAACATTGCATAATTCAGACAAAAATGCCATCTACCAAATCCAACCAGTTTCAAGTCTCACCAGGATCCTGTGCCACAAACTTTACACGGGAACAGCGAGTAGGAAACCCTGAAGAGCTCCATGGGCTAGCACAGTGGGCATCTCATCGCTAGCCAGTGTGGGAAAGTGACAAATGACTGGCAGTCTCTCAGCTGCCTGAAAATGGCCTAAGGCTCTAGAAAAGTTTCACAACCTCAGCACTATTGACATCTTGCTCTGAATCATTCTGGTTGTAAGAGGCTATCTTGAATGCTGTGGAATATTTAGCAAGATCCTGACCTGTACCCACCATCTGCAGTAGGACCATTCCCAAGATGTAACAAACAAAACTATCTCTAGACATTTCCAAACGTCTCCCATTGGGGAGGAGGAACACCTTCTTTGAGAACCACTGCTCTCGAACTCTGGCTAACCTGTTGCAACACAGGTGGCAAGGGTTAGGGGAAAGCCCAATACCTATGTTTACATTTCCCATAAGCAAAGTTAAAACTTAGTTGCCTTAGGAAACCTAAAAATAAAGAGTAATTTTTTTTCTTGTACCTCTGAATTTGTAGACGGAAATACATACCCCATATAACACCATTATGGTCACAAAACAGAAGAGGGCACCCTTTAATCATTTTAGTCTTAACCAAACAATTGGAAGACAATATCAAAAGATTTATGAAAATGAAATGACAGACTTGGTTGCAGTATTAATACCATTTAATAAGTGGGTTTTATTATATGTTATATTTTAAAAATTTTAGTCATAATAAAGAAATTATTACCTAGAGATATGCAGTGGTGGTTCAAGGTTGCTTGGATGTTAGAAAAGTCAAGTTAAGTCATCTCGACTAACATATTTGTGTGCTCTTTTTTCTGTATATTAACAGACTATTATGCTAGATACTAGACATCTTCAGACAAATGAACCATAATCCTTGCCCTCAAGAGAGATAAAAGCTATAAATAAAAGTTGTTCCCTAGAGTTAGAAGGTGTGAGACATGGAGACATTTTCTTAGAAATGTCAGGCAGAAGAGGAGAATAAACATAAAGCGCCCCAAGCTAAGCAGGGAAGGTATTCCTTGTATTATCAGAAAGTTGATAGGCTTGTGCTATAAAGTAGATTAATGAACTTGAAATTAGGATACCTTGGTTTTCCTTCTAATTTTGCCACCAATTAATGTTATGTTGTTAGGCAAATCTCCTAATTGTCCTATGCTTCCATTTACTCATCTTTAAACTGGAGATGAGAAATAAGTAAAACTTGATAATGTCTGCAAGTCCTTCGAATTTTAAGATCTTATAAGTTCATGTTTAAACTGCAAGCATAACATTAATCTGGATGCAATGTTCCTGGTACTAAAAGATCTCAATATTATGTTGTTCAGTT